CGTGAAAGTTTTCTACGGGTAAATTGCTAACTCGGGAACCTGAAAAACTAGAAGACTAGAATTTTAAGAAGATTTTTTCCGTCCACGTAGAACCAAGTGACTTCAAGCTCTGCCCCTGATTATACATGTTTCTCACGTGCGGGTCGGTGAAAGTTTTTGGTGGACGAATTGCTAGCTCGGGAACCAGAAAAGCTAGAAAGCTGAAAATTTAAGGTTTTAGACAGTCCCGATGGCCAGTCTCAATTCTCTTAACTAGAAGATCTGCCGGGAATTTGCAGGGAACTATGCAAAAAAACGCATCTTTGCACCGGCAGTCGGTGCGCTGGCCATTTATTATAAATTTACAGTGCCTTGCCTGTGGCGCGAGTACTTATTCCTTCACAGGATTTTTTTTTTAAATCTTTCAGAATTTGGCGGCATTTGTGGTACTGCTTGGTTTGGCAGTAGGGATTTACACATACACATTTCATGGACTGAAACAAGAGACATTCCTGGAAGAGATTGATGAAGAAGTAGCTGCAGAAACTGTTAAAAGCGGCGGCTGAAAAGGATCGGTTTCTTGTGTCCTTTAAACTGTCGTAGTATTTTCTGAACCGTTGTCTGCCGCTCAAGACATGGGCCAAAAATCCAGTGCGCCTGTCTTGCACAGAAACATGTGTTTTTGCTCTGTTCTTTCTTAAGTCGAGTTCGTATTTGCATGAATTAATGTTCTTGAGACGTCAAAAAATACGATTCGCTTTGATTTTCTGACAGCGTCCAACGGCATGATATTCCACTAATCAGCGAAATTTTTCATCTTCCGGGTGACTTTGATATTTTTTTAGACCTTATTCCTTCTTGGGCCAGTTTAACGCTAGGTCCAGCCGAACCCACCACAAATTCTACCCCTTTTCCTGCCCGTCCCCCTTCTTCCCTCTCCGTCCCGCTACCCGCTTTCATCCTCGTTCTTCCGACTTCACTTATCACGTTGCAGTATGATGATTTCTCACTACAACTTCATGCACCAAAGTACACCACAGGAAGGGGCTAAAGAAAAGGTGGAATAAATCTCGAAATATTTAAGTGCTTAAGCAATAATCTAGACGATACAATGAGTAGAGAATTAAACAACTGGAGAGAGGTGGGTCAAGGGCAGACGCCAGAAAGATGCGGGAACGGGAGGAAATGGAAAGGAAAAGTGAATAAATAAAATAACACCATTTCTAGATGAGCATATGAGGATGGAAACATAACACTGAGCAGTGTAATACAAAAGCAATTATGCAGGGCAACGATATGAAATTGTACACAGTGAGCTGAGAAAGTGGCATATCAGTCTGCACAGCCGGATGATCATCAGGCAGCCAGAGATTACTAACAGCGCTGTGCAGCTTAGAATGAGTAGCACTGCAAAGTAGCCGTTCAAACAGCAGTGGAACTGGAAACACTCAACGAGTCTGAACTTCCGGACAAACTTGAGTAGCGATCTCGTGAAATAAAATTTCCTGCACCAAACCCTGGAACACTTTCAGCATTCGCTCGAGAATAAACAGCCACTAATGGCCGATTAAGCAGAAACACTAACCATTCAAATCTTGCGGTCCTCGCAGTGCACTTGTAGCTGCTGATGGCCGGCAACGATGAATTCGGACTGGCACTAAAAAACAATTCAT